ACCCGCCACCTTAGGTGTATGTGGCCGGCGCCTTAGCCACTTGAGCCACAGGCACCGAGCCAACCTAGTGACTTCTATAAGTAAATAGTATTTGTACTCCAAGAAAAAAATAACAAAATAATTTTAGCACTATAGAGCTGTAATTCTGTGTGTAGGGTTCAAAGAATTATGGTATAGAACTATTGTATCTATATAAAGTCCCTGAAACAGAGAGGTTTTGCTGATTTCCAAGCTATACTAAATAGCATTTTAAAAAGTTCTTCATTATATTATTCATCTGGCAATAGTACTGCTGAAGCTTACAAAATGAGAAAATGATAAATAATGAACATTTCATGAGTTGTCTACCTGTTTCCACATTCTCGGTCTCAACTTCTTGTTCTTCTGCCACATCTTGCATCATATAAGTCTCATCATCATAAACCAGAACCTGGGCTGCATAGCCCTGCTCTAATCTGGCACTTGGAACTGGCTCCACAATCACTGCTGGATATTCAGAAACCTTTTCACTTTCCTACAAGAGCAAATTTAAAAAACAATCAACCTTTAGATTCACAAATTCTAGATCGACTTATAAATCCTTGAGTTCATACAGTCTCAAGCAATCCAAAAAATGAGTTTCATGTATTATAAATATGAATATAAAACCAAAACAAGGGATGAAAAGGACTAACTTTAATAACCCTTTCAAGTCTCAAAAGGCGAGACATAGATTAAACATTTTAAATAATAAGGGCATTAGGATTAAGATAGCAGATTGAAAACATGCATGTAATTTCATTCGCTCATAAAAGCCCACTACACTGGCAGTAAAGCAGTGTATTTAATACCTAAACCCAAAGGAGAAGAGACAGAGCAACAAACAAGAAGAGACAAGAACAACAAAATCTGGGAAGATTCAAAGTGGATAGATAAGAATTAAGTGGATTAGCAGACTCAGGAAAGCCAAAACATGGCCTGGTAAGCAAAAGAAAACAGAGAAATAACACACAGCACAGAACAAAGTCCACAGAGAGCAACAATTACTTCAGGAAATGGAGGTACAACAGGCGGTAAGCAAAGAGGAGGAGATTAAAACCATAAAGATTCTATGAAAATTCTTTGTAAAGGACTCTGATTCCTAGACCTTTTCCCTCCTCTACGAAGCCAACCAACTGAACTTCTTCCACCTCAAAAGAATTGAGTTACATTCTGGAGAGGGAAAACCAATAGTATCTTTGAGTGTACTAGGCACAGCTGCTCGCATCATACTGAACCAAAAACAGAATTTCCAATCAACTCTTTAATCCCCCACTTTTAATTGTGGACAACCAGATATTACTAGACACCCAAGGAAATGCCTGTAACACAGAATATACCCACATCCATACTCATACCCCACAGAGATGAGGTATTATATCCATAAAACAAGAATTTAGTAAGGAACATGTAAAAATACAGATCAAGTGTTTGTGAAAAACACAATAAATAAATGAAGAAATAAAGGCTTGGAAGGTAAAACTGAGGCAATCTCCTGGAACCAGGAAAAAAAAAAAAAAAAGATAAAGCAACAGAATACAGGAGATAAATAAAAGATGGCAATATATACTAGAGGACCAGTCCAGGAGTTCAAGAATAAGAAATAGTAGGAAGAAAAAGGGAAAATAGTAAGGTTTGGAAAGAAATCAAGGAAGTAAACCAATAAGATTTTCTAGAGCTGAAGCATAAGAGTTGTTCTTTTGAAAGGATCCTACTACAAAAAAAAAAAAGATACCTAAAATGAGGTACATCATTGTGAAATATCATAATACTAGGGACAAAAAGATGCTATAAGCTTCTAGAAAGAAAATACAAAGAATCAAGACACAGACTTCATTCTTCTCAGAAACAGTCATACTAAAAGGAGGACAATAAAGCAATTTCTTAAAAATTATGAAGGAAAATTATTTCCAACCAAAAATTTTCTATTCAGTCAAACCATTTTATGAAAGTAGAATGGAGATAGTTTCTCAGACATAAAAGATCTGAAAACATCTCCCAAGCATCCTTCTTAAGAAGCAACTTGAGAGTATATCCCATCAAAAAAAGAAAATAAGCCTCTTTGCCTACTTGCCCTGGCAATGAAGGCCCGTTCGCTGTATATGGCAAATGTATCTTGTTTTGTAAGCTTTCTTACTCTGTAAGCCCTTCTTTCTCTTCCCCAGTAAACTTTATTTCAGAAAGAAAGAAAAGGAAAGGGAAAGGGAAAAGAGAAAAAAAAGAGAGGGTCTGGCACGGTGCCTCACACTTACAATCCTAGCACCCTGGAAGGCCAAGGCAGGTGGATTTGCCAGAGCTCACAGGTTCCAAACCAGTATGAGCCAGAGCAAGACCCTGTCTCTAAAAATAGCTGGGCGTTGTGGCAGGCACCTGGAATCCCAGCTACTTGGGAAGCTAAGGCAAGAGAACTGCTTGAGCCCAAGAGTTTGAGGTTACTGTGAGCTATGGTGCCA